ACTGGCCAAGCTTCTAGCCTTACATTTGCTTCTAGAATCATTGCTGCCTCACTGGGAAACACCCACTTCCCTCTGTTGGCATGGTGGTATGTGTGTTCACATTTGAAGCCAACAATTAGCAATTAGAACCCTAAAACTGATAATATACAATCATAAGAAGAAGGTTTAGTCCCTTTTGAGCCTTCTAGATTTCCGAACCTTGCAAATCATCGACTGGAAGTCATAGAACAACTATAAAATCACAGGATTATATGTTGGAGAGAGGCAGTCGAGGGAGAACCTCTCTGTGGGATGCTGTTGCAAAACATGCAGAGACAAACTCAATCAAGAAGATGCTAACATCTGTGTCAAACACCCAAGGAAATTTAATAATGATTTTTCTTCATATATATAAGAAAAGTCTCCTAAATTAAAATGTATGAGGAAATACTGGATGTACCCTTAATCCAATAAAACTTTCTGGGAGAGGGACCAAGTGACAGCTGATTTTTATCGTACTTGGCAAAGAAAGGACCAACAGCAATCTCTTTCCTGCCCATATTTTACTAACCTAAAGTAAGACAATGTTTTCCACGGCTTTTGCAATCATTTTTACCGAGCTCTAGCTCCCCCAAGCCCAAATTGTGTACACAAGAGTGACACACTAACAGGAGAGTACTGGTTACCCTTGACAATGGGCAGGATGGTTCTGAGGGAGGGGTGCAGAGTGGAAGGGTAGGAAGGGAGCACTTCTGCTTGGGTCTTCTGAGGTATGACACACTGCTAAGCTGGCTGTGTGGCTGGCCTGTGGTAACAGAGAAGCTTACCAAGGATCTCAGATCTCCTAATTTGAGAAAAAACTTTGAACTAGATCAACTCCCTTGGAAATCCAGATCCTCCAAAGTGGGGCTCAAGATAATGTACTAAATTTCTATTGTGCCAATGAGCACTGTGAAGAGTACTTGATAAAGTTTTTAATTAAAATTTTTGTTCAGCACCTTCCACTGCCAATAGCAGTCATGTTCCTGAAAGATGGTATTTTAGCACAGGGATTATAGAAGCCCAATATAAAACTGTAAACAAGGGTGTATGTCTAGATCTATCTCTGACTGCAATGGCAGGTGGGTGGATGTTTTCATCTCCCACTTCATCAATTAATACCAGTAAGGTGTGCTGAGGTGTAAAATCCCAAACACCCTGAAAGTTTTGAATGAAGATGGACAAAGGTGTAAATTGTATTTGTTTTCTTTGACTTTATTAGCACACATCAGAAAAATAGCATTGTATTTAGTGATTTGTCATGATGGTCTATCAAACAGATAGAAAATAGATCACTGATAGCTGCCACTGTGTTTCTAGGTAATCATAAGTCACTCCTTCTGATTATTCATTTCAAGTATGGGTATTACAAATATGACTTGTTTCGTTGTCTATGAATCAGAATGCTTTGGAAGCACTTTGAGATCCCAAAATGAACTGTGCAGTCATTATCAGTTGTTTTTAATCAAGCTCCAAATACTGACTACGTTATAAATGGTGAGACTTTTCAAAAATATGACCACTATTGTACTATGAGCGATATGCCTATTAATTTAAAAACTTTATTTTCAAGTACACTTTGTGGTGGTAAGTGGGTTACCCAGGTAGAATTTTACAAAGCTGTGCCGACCTTTAAAAGGCACAACGCTTCTGTTTTCATTGAACAGGTTTCTTCTCCCCATCGTGACTTCAACGTAATTTAAATTTACATTTTAGAAAGGCTGGTTGGGTTACGAAAAAAGAGATATTTGGGAACAGCTGGTGTTCAGATCATTGTTACTCCAGATTAATTTTCAATTTATGCTTCCTGAACTTGAGCTTTGCAACATCAGAGAAGCAGTTATTTTTATCCAGCCAGTCCCCTTTCAGAGTTTCTATTTGTTTTCTCTGTTTGATGTTAACTCCCTCCCCCCCCTTTTCATATGCTCATTAAGGTCCCCTGAGATGTGCAAAAATATATAAAATGGAATACAAGGTATTTAACAGAGGTTGTGGAATACACAGCACAGCTCTTTTAATTAAAGTGAAATTTGGGCTCGATATGGTAGCATGCGAGTGAAGGCAGAGAGGCCCAAAGTGCTTCAAAGTTGGCAGTCTAAATTTCTTGTGTGTCTCCTGTTACTGAAAAACCAGAAATCAAATCAGATTTTCATAGGGGTAAGTCGCTTGCTTGCAAAGTTATGTTTACCAATTGACTCTTTGCCAGAAAGAACTTTTAGCAGGAATTGGATTGGGGCGGGGGAGAGAAAGACAAGAATTTTAAACTTCCTTTCATTTGTAACAAAATCAAGCGGCTTTTGTGGTGGAGGGAGGAGAGACAGGATTACATCTGAAAGCCAAATAATGCCATAAAAGCAAACCATGGCAATGAAAAAGTCATGAGACCACATTGCAGTCTGACACACACACACACACAGAACATTATGGCCTAATGTTTAAGCAAGTTTCAAACATTGCTTTTCTTAACAATACACTTTAACACACTGCTGCCATTTCATTAAATTTATGGAGGTAGTTATATGTAAAAATAAAAATTACCATAAAGTAATATGCTGTATCATAATAATACATAAGTGTGCAAAATGCCGACAGATGTGTTGACCCTTTAAAGTTGAACACTATGCAGAAATTCAACCAAATTCAGTTTTGTAAACCTTTCCATTGATAAAACTCTAAGCAAAGACTAGATAAGCAGCCAAGTTCACACAAAGCTATCACTTCACAGAAGGAGGAGGATGCTGGGGAGCTCTTGAAGAGGGCCTGAGTGTTTGGTCGGTGAGAACCTCAAGGCAGACAAACTAGGATCCCATTTATAATGCATTTCCCACCACCACTCCTCCCCATTCAAGAATTCTGGTTAGATTTAAGACCAGAATGTTTTTACATGAAACGTCTGCTTACATTGTATCATCTTTAAAGCCCATCATGTCCATGCCAATGGCTGCTGGTCTAAGGGAGATTTAAAAAAAAAAAAAAAATCAAGTACCCTATAGCATCAGGCAAATAGTGTACACATTTTATTTGAATAATGCCTTCTGTAAACCTGTTTCTTCTGAAATATTGATACATTTATATTTTAAAGCTTTTTGTAAGGGTAATGCTTTCCTTTCCTGTTCATACAGCGTTTTATTATTATCATGGCTACTTTCAGAGGATCAACTAGAGGCTGATGTATTGTTTCAATGGTCATATTATTTATGAACTGATAGATAGTATGATAAAAGCTTGAGAGCAGGTTTTTGAAAAAATGAATTTGGACAGAAAAATTTAGTAACTGTATGGTATACAACTCCCCAAAGAAAGAGACTCTGGAGTCTATTAGATACATTATTGTTCCTTCTGGACATATTTAAGCAATGAGACAAACAATGCATTTCTGAGCAATCAAGGCATGCCTTGGAGGAAATAAGGCATGAGATTGAAACCCATCTGACTTAAGCATTTAAATAGTGTGAGAGTTTACTAAGAAATGTGCTTAAATTTGCTGCAAGCGCGTGCGTGCGTGCGCGCGCGCGCGCGCACACACACACACACACACACACGTAAAACTGAGGAGTCCAATTTGACCAAGGGCAATTTTCAAATATCTGAAAAAGCAAGAAGGCATATCCAAATGTTTCAAGAAGTCGCCTAATTTTTAAAATCCCAAAATTATATCCAACTACATACATGATTGCATTTTTAAACATATCTGTAGTGATTAAACCTAATACCAAAGCGGAAGTGTTTCTCAAATTTTATGCTAATTACTAAAATCTGAGTTGAAAATATTTTATATTTATTTTTGAATATTTATGTTATGGTATATGTCTTCAAATACCATGTGACTCTGAACTCAATAAAACTTTATGTCAAACTATTCACTTGGGTTTTGTTTTTTTTTTTGTTTTTTTTTTGCAAAAACTTTTAAATTCCCTACAGGTTTATTCTACTGCCCTCATAAAATAAAACATGGGAACTTTGAAGTATCTCTTTCCTATCAGGTTGAAAATTGATTATTTTTAATCTCTCTGCTGCTGAGAGCCATCTTTGCATCCAATATGATGTTGTAAACCAAAGCAAAATGTTAACAAACATCTTGTAGTAAATCGGACCTACAACCAAACATCCACCTAAAAACACCTCTTGAAATTGGTACAAAGTATCTGTAAACATTACTCTGGCATAGTTCATGTATGCATAATTGTTATTGTGATCAATTTTAGGGGAGTACAAATTATGATTATACCACACTTGCAGAATGAGCACATTCTGTTGTTAATTACATGGGCACATGTACATTTCTAATCAAAAATTATTTTAAAATTTTCTCTATAGATATCTTCCCAGGAATAAAAGGCCTGAAGTTCAACTCTCCCTAAATTTGCTCTTTTCTATAACCACTAAAAATTATCTTCCACAGCCTAATTTAGGCATTCTACTTAAAATTACATAAAATAGATTTATGTCCTTCCATTAGAAAGAATAACATCCTCAGGCCATACTCTTCATTTGTATCACAAAGAACATTTTGCTTTTAAACAAACTAATTGTTGTTATCTACTATAGTAAGATAGGATCATCCTAAGTATCACAAGGAGGAAATTTTCTTCCTTATATATTTGATTAATACCTTTTAAAAGTCCACATTACCTCTTCCATCACTTGGTGCTGTGACCCAGCCTGGTTGGGAATTCCCTTCCTTTGTCCACTTCAGATTCAAAGGCCTATATTCCTGTTTGTGATTATGGAAGGTTTGAAATCAGACAAGCATCTGTTACACTTGAAAACAAAACCCCAAGAACACACACTCCCAGTATTTCAATCACGACCCCTTCTGACACACTTCCATGGGCTCCTGCAAAATTGTGTCACGAAAACTCACAGTGAAAATGACGGGTGCATAAACAATTCACACACAAAGGGCTGGGGTCCCTTCTGGTCAATTTGGCATTGGTTTCCCTCAAGCTGGACCCTTGGATGTTACATTTTGTGGTGGCTTAGTTTTTTTGTGGGTTTGCTTTTTTGGAAGTGTCAAGGATCAGTTCTGTGGCACCACTGGACCACAGACTGGGAGCAACACACATCTGTGGCATTTTAAAATGGAATTGGCAACTGCATGACATTGAAAATGCATATTACACTTACAGTGTCTAGACTTTCCTATGTGTGCTCAATTACAATTAGTGAAGCAAAAGTATACATATCACCCCTACTGCTATTCTGTTGCTACAGAGCCATAAATGTGAAAAGCAATACTCTGAAATAAAGATTTTTGTGTGTTTTTTTGTTTTGTTTTGTTTTTTTGCCCTAGCCTACTTAGCAGCACAGTTTAAGTACACACAAAAACTGTGGTTAAGATGCTTGTCTTTCCAAAGATGTAAACATCAGTCCCAGTGTCGTAAACTTTGCTGTATTGAATGAGACAGAAGATCTGAGGCAGAATGACTATCACACACTAGTAACAGAAGCTTGCAAGCAGTTGGAAGGTTTCTGTAATTTCTCAGCTTCATTTGTTGGGGGGTCCGTACTTGCTCGGAAGTTGAAGGCTGGACCAGCTCCACCGTGGGCCGGACTCAAAGCAGGGTTCTGCCGTCGGTTACTTTCAACAATGCTGGAAGTGTTGGAAGCCAGGCTCTCTCGAGTACTAAAAGAGTAAAAAGGTTTTGTTTTGTTTTTAACATAAATAATTATATATGGAGCACCAGAGGAAGAGCCAATGATGTGCTTAATGGATTTCCTCTGTTGGTTCATAATGTCATATCAATATACTATCTCAACCTGATTATTCACATATGTTCCTCTGACATGGTCTCCAGAAGTTTCCACAAGGTATGTTATCATCAACAGGGCATTAAATGAAGAAAGAGTTTCTATACGGCTAAATGCACTTTGAAACGTTTTCCTTGTCTTTTCATATTCATAGAAACTACTTCAAAATTTTATGTGATAGATGGCTACCACTTTAATTTTAAAAATGAATACTCATAAATATACATAATGGCTTCACTTCAGGCTGGAAATTCATTGGCATAGCTGCTCCTGAATAAACTCAATAATCTTATTCCAGTGTTTCTATTTTCATTCTGAATTAGCACATTCTGACTTTGATGGACTTTGAAAATGCCACTACCTGATCTGTAGCACATATGGCAATAATATTCTTTTTAAATACTTTCGTCTTCTGGTTCAAATTCTAATACTTCAGTTTAAGTACATTATAGCAGATAAAGACCCTTAGCTTTTTTCCATTCCTTCGTGAAGTTTATACTCACTTTCGCCCTTTGGTAAAAAAATTGTTTCTTTTCTTAAAAGATTCTTATGGAATAGATGTGATTTAAAAGCTTTATTAGCTCAATTTTTCCCAATTAGAAAAATCTGAACTTATTTTACTGTTCCAAAAGATTTAAGACATTTAACATTTCAAATGTACAGGGTTAATAGCAGATAAAAAGATTACTTGGCCAGATTGAAGGAAGTTGAATGAATTTCATGTTCAAGGTCCCTAAAATGGTAACAAGAAATTATCAGCTTACATAGAGATTGAAGAGGCTGTTATCACGTTCAAAACATCGATCTTACTGGGTAGTTTCAGGATTTATTATATATCGTATGAGAGTTAGTCCCCATAACCAATTTAAACCCGCTGAAGCTAGTTAATAGGTCAAACTACTCAGAGTGAAGACAACCTTGTTTCTTCTCCTTCCTTTTATCCTAAACTAATACCTTGAGCATCCCTTCATTCTAATCCCATGTTGCCTGAGCTTGTTTCTCACCAAAGAGCTGAGAGTTAATTGTACAAAATTTAGGTTGTTCATTGATTACCTAAAAGACAATGGATCCTTTCTTGATTGCAGAGGCTACTTCCAGAAGTAGAGGTCCTCTTATGCTTATGCTAAATACAGCATACCTAAAGGATACTCCAGAACTTCATCCCAAATGCAATGAAAACTGCTAGACTTAATACTTACCTGATTTATCACCTTCCCCAAGAAAATTTATCAGTGGATTGTCACTGAGGAATGGAATCACGTGGAAGAAAGAGGAAGGGCAGTTAAGATTTTATGACACATTCCTTCAGTTTCATCATGGTTTTATAGTACTTGATTTTCTCATCTCTAAAATGGGGATAATTATGATTTTATTTATCTACTCACGGGGTGACTGTGAAGAATAAACACATGTAGATGAAGAATTTGTATATTGTCCAAACTAGAAAAATGCACATTATTTTTCTCATGTATCTGGTATATAATGAATTAAGTAGCTACTGGAAATTGGCCTAGGAATCTATCAGGACATCTTTTCTATGGGAAATGCATTCTAAAGTCTGAAGGACTCACTTTCAAACCAGCTTTTAAGCCATGGGATTAACATTTATTGAGTACCTGCTGTGTGCCAGATACTGTGAAACATTACAGTAGATCACTTAATTTGGGAACTGTCTGTGCTGTAAGATACCTTTGGCCACATTTGACCATAGCAAACAAATCAGTAGTGAAACAAACACACAATACTTCAGTTTCTCCAGTAAAATATATCTCATTAGTGCTATAATAATGAGTAAGGTCAATGATATTATTGACGGCTCTGGATATGATGATAAAACGTTAATGGAGATGGGAACATTAGCAGTAGGGATAGCTCTCAAATTTAAAAACTGTCATATTTAAAAAAAGAACTAATGCTTTCAGGGTTTCATTGATAGACAAATTGAGCCCAGCATCTCCATTGTTCATCCTTCTACATGCACGTTTCCTTTGGCAGCACACTTCTATGGCACATGAAGTACTGTAAGCAGAGATGTCCCTGGCAGCCTTTGGCCCTAAGGTTTTCATATTGTGTTTATCAACCAGTTTTTGGCCTCAGGTTTGGAACATAGGCTTTTCATGTCAAGATTTTTCATTCTCTTCTTAACATCATATCTCATAGAACAGTTCATATTCCTACTGTTTTCCCATTTCAAAATCCTTTACAAAACCTCTACAAAGAGGGCTATGAAATTTCAGAGGTGTATCTGAACATGACTTCTGAGCCAGGACTGAAACCTTGGACTGCAGAGTGCATCTTTTCTTTTTTGGCTTTTGTTTTGGTTTTTGCTCAGTAAATATTTATTGAAAGATCTGATTAAATGGCCCACTTAAGATTCCCGTGCCTCACAGCAATGTAGAAGTGTTGGCACCATAATGCTATTTGGCTAAAACTCCTCATGCTGGAAAGTGAAACTCCCTGTAACTCAAATATCCATCCCCCTTTGTGGACCATTCTCATGCATTATAAAGGCAATTTAGTTAATTTATTGAGGTGTATAGGAAATAAGTTTGTCACCTGGCTTCTAACTAAAGGATACTACAATGTGAAAGGGATAAAATTAGCACTTGTTCTGTATATTCTCCAGCTGCATAGAATTTATGAGTAATCTATATATTTCTGTAGAAAAAATATCCCCAGAGACATGGCTATTATGTGAAGGTTATCTCTTTAGAATGATCTTTACTTTCTACTACAACAAGTCAAGTTAACTTCTAGTACATTAAATAAAGAAAAATAAATTCACTGCCACTTCAAGAAATAACCCCAATCATAAATTCCATATTAACACCCCAACCTTAGAGATAATAAAATATATTCTATGGACATTTTGTTTTAACTTTTTCATGAGTATTTCTGCTTATTTGCCCATAACAGACCCACCCCCCCCCCCAAAAAAAAACTTTTATCATTATGGAAAAAACTTTTATCATTATGGGGTGGGCAGGATTTTGAGTTAGAACTCATTAAACCACTCCCAATATCTTAACAACAATCTCTGGACCAGTACTGCAGCTTTTGCTCTGTGGAAATCCAGGTGCCAAGAGGTCAACATGAATGGTTTGAAACTGTGGTGTGAAAAAGCATTAGGCAGGAAGAGTCTGTATAATTAGAAACAGAGAACATAAAGGTACAAGCAAATAAACTACATCTTTCATGAATGATGGTTCTGAAATTTCACCATGGATTATAGATCTCCAATTATGCTCATCTGTTTGGCATCTACTAGTAGGAATTCAAAGCGGAAGAAAGATTAGAGCAGAGCAAAGAAAGAAAGTAAAGTAAGTTTTAATTTAGAATAAAAAAAAAATTGTTAGCCAAAAATTATTTCTTAGAAAATTCACTAACAGGTCAGTAGTTTCCCACCTGGGTGCCATGGTTCCCTGAGGTCTCACAGGGCACCTCAAGGGACTGGCAGAGGAGAGCTGGGGCTTTAATCAGAGTACCATCTCTGTGGTGTGCGTGACATCATACTTCTACACAAGCATTAACTTGGCAGAAAGAAAACATGGGCAAAATATAGTAATACTAATCAAGAACTAGTTCTCCAAGAAATAACAAGGGCCTAATATTAGACAATAGGAGCCCTGGTGGTTCAGTGGTTAAGCACTTGGCTACCAACCAAAAGGTTGGCAGTTTGTACCCATCAGTTGCTCCACAGGAGAAAGATGTGGCAATATGCTTCTGTAGAAATTACAGTCTTGGAAACCCTATGGGGCAGTTCTATTCTGTCCTGCAGGGTTGCTATGAGTCAGAATCAACCCAACAACAATGGGTAATATTGGACAAACAGATTAATGATTCCCAATCCTGACTTTTGTGATGCTCTGTTCCAAAATTATCCAGACATGTAGTAAAATGATCACAATAGAATTAATCTTAATATTTAATTGTTAAAAAAATACATCAAATACACAATTCTGAGTGGTGGTAAAACTCCAAGTATTATGAAGTCTTGGGAATCATAGTTGAAGAAAAATGTGAATAGTTATTTCTGCATCCCAGAGTCACCAATCTGGAGTAGAATTTAGAAAGAGAATTAGGTCCCAAGTTACTCTTTGAGGTGAAGAAATGGTTGAAGAGGGAAAAAGGAAGCTGCATAGCTCTTGATTGCTTTCTTAATCCCTGAACAACTTCAGTGCTTTGGACAGGAACATTTGGCATATATACTCTTGACTGTCAACCTTTGGCTAAATTACCACCACCTACTAAAAAGGAGCTCCTGGGTGGCAGAAATGGTTACTGCACTTGGCATCTATGAAAGGTTGGAGGGTCAAGTCCACCTAGAAGCATCTTGGAAGAAACTCCTGGCAACCTACTTCCAAGAAATCAGCCACTAAAACCCTATGGAGCACAGTTCCACTCTGACACCACATGGGGTTGCTGTGAGTTGGGGATGGTTCAGCAGCAACTGTTCTTATTTGACTAAAAAGGAAGAACAATGACTAGAGTGACTAGAGTGCTTAGGTGGATTGTATCGGTTTTCCAGGAGGAGAAAGGAAAGTGTTAGCATATGAGTTGATCTAACAGAGCATAGCCTCCTAACCTTTCTGTTCCATTTCTCCATAGACATGCAGGGAAAGGAAGGTGAGCAAGAAGACAGGCCACACAGAAAGTAAGGATTAAAATAGCAAACGAAGTTCCAGATCTGCTGAAAAGGTTTTGAGATCTGCTGTTATATTCTGGCTAGAAGAAACCCCACCCCTAGACTCAAACAATCTATTTCCAATCCCTCTCCTCCACTGACTTCTGATTCTACTCAAAAAGTCACTATTTTTGAAGGACTTAAAAAGCCCCTTTCCATATGAGCACGGAGTCCCCAGGTGGTGCAAACAGCTAATAAGCTCAGCCCCTAATAGAGAAGTTGGTGATTCGAGTTGACCCAGTGGAGCCTTGGAGGAAAGCCCTGGTGATCTATTTCCAAAAAATCAGCCACTGAAAACCCTATGAAGCAACAGTTCTACTCTGACACACTTGGGGTCACCATCAGTTGGAGTCAGCTCCACATCAAACTGGTTTGGTTTGGTTTGATTTTGCTCATATGAGCATGGTGGCAAGAGGCATGTTGAAGAGCGAATACTGGGAAACAGTGGCCTCAGACCACACTGATGTGAGTGTGAGGGAAAGAGCCAACCCACCAGTCCAGATTGGTGATCTCTACAGCTGCAGAAACATTTTTTTCAATTCCTGGAAAAGAAGTCAGAAACAGCTTGTTAACAATGCAACTCATGCAATGCATAACCCTCATTCACAGCACTGAGACTGACACCAGCAACTTCCCAAGTGATCTTTATATATGCCCAGGCCCTGTGTGCACAATGGGCATGCAGACACCCTGTCCCTACCGTGGGGAGTTGAAGCCGCTGTCCACAGTGATGCTGCTGCTGTCCATGCTGTCGAGCCGTGCTGAGTGAGTGGCTCTCTGGTTGCTGCTGCTGTCGGTTTCTTTGGGGGCCAGGAGGGTGAGGTTCTTCTCAAATTTCCTCTGCAAGTCCCTTTCCTTCTCTCGCTCCAGAAGCCACTGCATGGTGCCTACGTCATCTCTATTTTTCTCCTCCTCGGTGTTTTTGTTTGCCCCTTCCTCAGAGTCGTCATCATCAGAGACGTTGTAATAGTCAAAAGAGGCCTCCTGGTTGCCCCCTGATTCCTGCTGGCGCTGGGAAGCTGGCATGGCCTGTGTGGCTGAGGGCCCCAGGGACGGCTCAAGTTTCTCACATCGGCCTGGCAGTGTGTCAGCAGGTGTTTTCGGGTGAGATTTGAGGAGGGACAGGCTGGATTTGTGATAGCTGTTTACAGACAGGGTGCTGTGAAGAGGTTTGAAGAGTGTGTCTTTGCTGAATATTTCTTTCCTCTTGTCCAGGCTGCTAGGCTCGGCGCTGTGGTGCTGGATGAGGCGCCCATTGGCGATCCCTTCAGCTACTGAGCCTGAAGTTGCTGGACCCCCACCTGGCCCCTTTGGTGACTCTTCCTTGTGTCCCACAGGCTCCCTGGAAGAATGAGGGGCCTGTCTATCAGATGGGGGCAGCTTCTTTACCCCTTCCACCAGGGTCAGAGTGTCATGGTCCTCCTTATTCTTCCCCAGAGGCGATGGTGCTGTGAGCACTGTCTCACTTGAGGTGTTGCACTGGAAATAGTCATCTGTGGCTGTTTTTGTTGGACAAGAGTTGAGTTCACCATAGGATGGCAAACTCTCTAGTGGTTTGCCTTGCTCCAAAAGGCTACAAGCACTGGAAGGTTCCTTGCTGCCACTGAGTATTTCTGGAATACACACCTCTTTATAAGCTGTGGCTGAAAGGTGAGCCCTTTGATGACTAGCAGACTGTGCAGGCCTTAAAGTACTGTCATCAATGTAGGACTGGCTGGGCGTTTGGTCGTCTTGGCTACAGCCTTCAGCCATGTCTTCAGGTGTTCCTAGAGAAGAAGCACCCAGAGGGCCTTTGGAGTTATCCATTGACCTGGATCTCTCCTTGGCTTTGTTGGATCTCTCATTCCTGGACCTTCGGTCCTGGGTATGGCTGTGGCTTCGATGCACTTTAGAGTGGGAGCTTCCCCTGGAAGGTTCAGGAAAAGGCATCTCAGTTCTCCTTTTGGCCAGTTCACCAGACACATCCCATTCTGGTGTCATGGGGAAATGGGACTCAATCATGTTTGTGTTGCTGTGCATGATAAAGTTATCTCCTTTGTGTTCAATGATGAAGCAGCCCTCCCTGGGTGCCCTGGTAAGAGGGTCACAAAAGTCATACTCTCTCTCTCCTGGGATATCCAGGTGAGAGCCATCTGAAGGGTCCCCTTTAGACACACGTGTCTTGCTGTGTGACCGAGATTTTCCATGGGACTTTCGATGAGTCCTACTCTTTTTACTCCGTCCGCTGTGATGGGCAGAGGACCCAGCTTTACTCCTATGAGCTTTTTCTTCTTCAAGTTTCTTCATTAGTGCAGTGTGTCTCATGACATTTTCCACAGTCAAGTCTGGGTTAATACGCCTAATGATTTCCATTTCCACTTCCCTTGGGATAGTCGTCGGTGTGTCCTCATCTCTCAGGGGCCACTCTTCAGGAGGAAACTGGGCAGAAAAATTGGCCAGCTGTTTGGTCTTGTCTTTTTTAAAACTTAGCCGGAATAACTTCAGGCCAAATTTTTTTGACTGCTTTTCACTATCTTTAGGCTTTGAGAGAGTTTCTGTCTTATAAGAAAAATTTACAGTACTTTTGCTCTTTTCAGTGGGTGGCACCTGGCATAGTGAAGGAGGGCAATAAGGGTCTTTGCAGTCCTTGGCGGATTTCCTCTGCAGAGTTGATGCATGCATGCTATGCATGTCTTCTCTACAGCAATGGCAAGAGTCGCAGTGGTTTCTGGGCAATGTTCTTTCCCTGACACAGCCTGAGGCAGAGGGCGTTATGGTTCCGGGTTGTGGAGAGGTACACTGAGACCTGTCAGGTATCCTCTCGTCCAAATGGTACCATTTACTGTTAGTTCTTATGAGGGAAGGAGTTATGAAATAAGTCTGTGGGGTCACGATGAAATAGCCATCTGGAGTTGGGTAGATTTTCCTCTCCCGTACCAGTGTGTTCAGTGTGTGTCGCAGGATTTCTTGGCTTGGGGTTGGAACACCTAAAGCACACAAACAAAAACACTCATGAGAATGCACACAGAACATGTGGTTGATTCATGACTTTCAGAATCCTACTGATTTTGTAAGCTTCCAAAGTCTTTATCACACAGCAACTGAGCAGGGTTCAAACAAAAGTGTTTACTATGTTGAGTGTGAATTCTAGTTTTCTCTGATATTACAACCTATAGAATGGGAAAATATTTAAAAAGCCAGGAAATAAGAGAAATGCAAGTTAGATGGAGTTAAATTGCCACTCCTGTTACAAAGCCTTTATTGAATTGACTCATAAAAGACAGAATATGTTTAAGTGAGGGAAAAATGAAAAAATATTTTAAGTGATATCATATAAATTGATTTAAGAGCCTTTCTCAATGAAAGCAGCTAGCAGAGTTAATATAGTTATCTTAGTATTGAAAACCAAATCTTACGTAAGTACTGGCCAATCTATTAGAGCTACACTATACACTTCATTTGTTTGACATTAAGTTTACTTAATATACTTAATTTTATAAATGACACAAAGAGGCAACCAAATTTGACCACTGTTTATGATGTACCCTCCAATTTTAAAATCATCCCCTTCCATTTTGGAAGTGAACACAGCACTGGTGAAGTTCAGGTGTAAAGTTGGCATAAATCAGCAGGATGGAGGTAGTTTCTCTAATTTGCAACCAAAGAGCCCTAAGGAATACACTAATGAAAGATGAGATACTCTGTTATCTGTCTGACCTGCTGAGTCCAAAGCTACCATACTTCATAGAATAGAAATTCCAGATGAAAATCATAGATGCTTCTTTGTATTATGACTGATACTGTTTTCAAAAGGTTTTGTGTGCATGCTTATTCCTGTCTACCTTAATAAAGTATACATTCCTCTAGGGTACAGGCCATTTACCTTATTGCTTGGTTATTCTTCATTCCTGTGCCAGGCACAAAGAGGGTGATAACACTTAGGAGACTGAGCTGAAGGACGGAATTTGGAAATAGCTCAGGTTGATTTATGTGAAATTGCAAACTGTGCCTGACCCACAAAATAATAATTTTGTGTGCTTCAATCTAATGGTTAAGACAGTACAAAGTGCAGACTGAGAGACTGGGCTTTGGAACCAGACGATCCAGATTCAAATCCTAACTCCCTCACTGTTAGCTGGTATCACTTTAGACACCTGAAACTCTTTGAGCCTCTCGTTACTGCCATCAGTGTGTGAGTAACAGTAATACTTATCTTCACAGACTTATGAGTTTAAAGTATGTAGAACAATGCCTGATACATAGTGAGTGCTCAATCAATTTTAGCTATTAAAAGTCCAAATGTGAGTCAGAGTCCATGGAAACTCGTATCATTTTCAAACAACAATGTGTAGTTAACCTAGAACAGCTAGGTAAAAGGAGTATTTAGGCTCCCTCAATCACCCCAAAATTATGAAAGATTACTCATGGGATATGAAGGCATTAGAGATGACCTGGAGTTCTTAAAGGGATAGAATCCATGAATATGAAGTAACATATACACAGAAGGCATCCTCAGTGATGGAAGCAGAAAAGATGACATTGCTTATAAATAATTTGGAGTTACTGGGTGGTGCAAACAGTTAATGAACTTGATTATTAACCAAAAAGGTTGGAGGTTCAAGTCCAAGAAGAGGTGCCTTGGAAAAAGTCCTGGCAATCTACTTCTGAAAAATCAGCCATTGAAAAATCTGAGGCACAGTTCTACTCTGACACACATGGGTCTCTATGAATTGAAACTGACTCAGTGGCAACTGGTGGTGGTGGTGGATAGATAAACATATTAAGTGATCCATTAATTTTCAAGTTTCCTAGGTTTCCTTTCAGAGTAGTCCTCTACTCTTGGTTTTTACACAAAAGATTTCAAGTTTGGTATTTTATACATATATAAAATAACAAAATTCGTATTTTATCTTATCATACTTTCATCACAGAATAGAAATAATCTCAATTAAATTACTGACATAACCCAAGCCATAGACATGAAATTCTTGAGGGTCGTAAGAAGACATAAAATGCTTATACATATGATAAACAACCTAAAAGAGTGTCTATGTCCTATTAACAAACAGACCCTCTTGCTGAAAACTTAAGAAGGCACTATTTACACAGAATACAACTTCAGAGATGAGGGTTTGATACTCCTAATTTAGTCTTGCAAATGATGCCCACTAGGAGTTATGCAGCACAGCAACCAAGATAGCAAAGCCATACTTAAACTGGAGTGCATCTTAAATAGTAGCACATTATCAGTCAAAATTATAACAGAAAGAAGTTTTAACAATAAGGTTCATTTATAAGGATTCTTGGCTAACTGGTTCACTATGGCCGCTAATAAAGGAAAGCTAAGGTTAAATGCATAAAAATAGCTATTTCTATAAAACAAAAATTTAACTGTATTATAAAATTTGCTAAGTGTAGGCCTTCCGAATGATGATCATCAGAAACTTATGAAACTATACAGAATAATGACTCAAAGTTCTTATTTTCACTTACTATTTAGGAATAAGCTTTCTGGTTGTTCCCAAATGAAGGGATGAAAATAAATTTACATAGAGAATTTTCATCTAAAATTTTTATATCCTGGATTTTCAGATATATCAATCAAACAAGGTTTAACCTGAAAAAACAAACTAGAAACATTCTTTGGTCCAATCCACTTTATATACTTCTACCTGTGAGTTTTCGCAGGTAACTGAAAGTCACCGATATTTATGATTATTATTTCATTATTTTGCTGTTGCTGTATGCCACAGAGTCAATTCTGACTGACAGTGACCTTACGGGACAGAGTAGAACTATCCCACAGGGTTTGCCAGTCTGTACCCTCTACAGAAGCATATGCCACATCCTCTCTTCCATGGAGCGTCTGGTGGGTTCAGACTGCAGACCTTTCGGTTAGCAGCAGAGCACTTAATCACTGCACCACCAGGGTTCCTTGATATTTTATTATTAGGAGTCTTTTTTTTTTTTTTTTTTCAAGTATAGTGAATAAGGATCTCTGATGATGTAGTGCTTAAGGCATTTGGCTGTTAACTAAAAGGTCAGTGGTTAGAACTCACCAGCTGCTCCATGGAAAAAAAAAAAGATGAGGCAGCCTGCTTCTGTAAAGATTTACAGCCTTGGAAATCCAATGAGGGTTGCTGTGAGTTGGAATCCACTTGATGGCAGTTAATTTGGTTTGGTTTGGTTTGCTTATATTGAATGATGTTTTTAATTGTGCAATCCAAGATTCCACAAGAAATCTGAATGGTTGGCCTGAAAAAGTGATGGGTGGGATGGATATATTTCATATTTGTAATTCCATGCAGCATCACAGGAGTGTGATGCTGAAAGATATGCCACCAGCATTTCAAGCACGATCACCCTTGGTGGACCAGTTTCAGAAAAGCTTCCAGACTAGGAGAGACTTGGAAGAAGGACCTGGCGAACTACTTCATAAAAAAAATTTATGGAGTTCCGGCAAGATGGCGGAATAGGCAGAAGGATTGCACAGACCCTCTTCAACAAAGAAAAGGGAAACCAATTAACACAGACACAGAAGATAATCGTGGACCCCTGAGCCTTGAAG